ACGATGAACTTCAAATAGAATTTTAAATTAAACCTTTTAATTTTAAGTTTACAATATTTATTATCATTCATTTTTTACTCATTTCATCGGGACTAGAATTGATCAATAAGTTATCATTTAACGGTGAGCTTGGTGTAACATTTTCAATTAAACCTTTAAAAAATTTTAGGAGTTACTATTATTTATTAATTCTGACATATTTTATTATTACTGATTTCATCAGGATCATATTCTATCAATGAGTTTTCGCTTGATGATAACCTCGGAAGAGTATGAACCAAACCTTTATTGAATTAGGGGGCAAATATATTTAAATATAATGATTTTTTATTTGGAGGCTAGTGGCGATGCAGAAGTTTAAATATTCTGAAAATTATAAAAAAAATTTATTTAAAAAATTTAGGAGTTACAATTTATATATTAATTCTAGCATATTTTATTATTACTGATTTCATCAGGATCATATTCTATCAATGAGTTTTCGCTTTATGTCGGAATCGTATGAACCAAATCTTTATAAAATTAGGGGGTAAATATATTTAAATATATAATGATTTTTTATTTGGAGGCTTGTGCCGATGCAGAGGTTTAAATTTTCTGAAAATTATTAATTTTTTTTATAAATTTTGAATTAAACCTTTAAAAAATTTAAGAGTTACAATAATATATTTAATTCTAACATATTTTATTATTACTGATTTCATCAGGATTTTCTAATGGGTTTTCTCTTGATGTTAACCTCGGAAAAGTATGAACCAACCCTTTATAGAATTAGGGGGTAAATATTTTTAAATATAAAATAATTATTTTTTATTGAGGCTGGTGGCGATGCGGAGATTTAAATTTTTGAAAATTATATAGCCCTTAAAAATTTTAATTTTTTTTTTATAAATCTCGATATATTATTTTTTATATTGAGCCCTCTTAAATATTATAGATTTTTACTCATTTCTTCATAATTAGAATCCACATTAACTATTTCTGGTATCACTTCCGGTTCGCTATCAACCGAATAAGGTGTTTTAGCGAAAAATACATTAAATGGGGTATTTTCAATTGTTCTAGAAAATCCTAGATTGATATTAAATACACTTTTAGGGAGCGCAGTCGCCCAATCATATTTTTTTGTTTCCAACATGTAACCGCTTATTCGCGACTCTAAAGTTCCATTTGCTCGCTCAATTAAACCATTGGTTTCTGGGTGGCGTGGTCGCGAATGTGCGAATATTACTTCTGGAAAATCATCCATTAACATAGATTCGACCATTTTATCTATAAATATTTTTTTAGACAAATCAATAATTTTATTTACTTTTAAATTCTCGTCCATTATCACTTTGTAAAATTTTTGGAGGACCGAAAGTAAAAAACAAATTTCGTATAACCCTTACTGTTTGTTCCCCTTGTTTTGATATAAGAGGCTTTGCGTATGTAAATTTAGAAAAATGGTCTTTAAAGTGAATTATGTATTTAAATTCTCCATCAGGAGTGCTACTAAAATCAATAAGATCCATTACAACTCGACCCCATACTGCCGTTGACTTTATAGCTTTACCAGTTGGGGCCTTCGGCAACGTCGTCTTCAATGAACATACCTCACAATTTTTTATATAATCTTTGAACTTATTCACTGGAACAGTTGCATATATTGTTTTAATTGATTTGATAGTTGTGTTCACTCCTAAATTTTTGGGAAAATAAAAAGATTACTAGTGCAATTTTACGAATCGTGTTTTTTATTCGCATAATATTTATTAATTATACTTAGTACTTGTATATTCGATTCGTTCATATTAATATTAATTTAAACAAATTTGAATAAATAATATTACAGTTAATATTCTATAAATTTTGAAATACTACTAGAATAAACATAGTAGGTATTTTCAAACAAAAATATATTATTGTCATAAAAATAACAATACACAAAGAACACATGTTGAACCAATTTATAACATGGTTCAGTTGAATCCAAGATATTAGGCCAAAATTTTAAAGCGGTAAGTTGAGCTTGTTTTTACATTTCATTTTGGTAATGATGATAATCTATTATATTGATAAAACTAATTTACATATATCATTTTATTAGTATTATTTCTACAAAAATTAACCTAGTTCCCTCGAAATAAAAAAAAACCTTCTTTTCTTTTTTTAATTATAGATTTTTTGTTGATTTAAAATTTGCCACTTTTTATTATTATTTTTTTAAAAATTATATTTCAATTCATCCGCAAATTTTGTCAACACATTCCTATAAGATCTTATTTTATTCCTACAATATGAGGTATACCCTTTTATTTTATTTTTTTAAATGATTTTTACACTATATTTTTATAATTCAGCATAAGAGTGATAGGGGCCCGTTAATTTCCAGAACCATTTTTGAAATAAATCATGTATCTTCATTCTGGTTTTGGGAAATTGATATTATTTTTTGTTTCGTTTCGGTTTATATAAGTTTTTTTATATAGAAAAAATAAAAACCGAATAAAACTAAAAAAAAAAAAGCTGAATTTCGTTATATTTTAGTATAAAACTTGAAGAGAAATAAATAAATAAATAAAATTAAAAACCTAAGGGTGTGTCTTAGTTCGACTCATTTTGATACTTATTTCTGTTTAGCCTAGGCTAGACAGCTTTTGAACTAGGAAACTCTATTTTGGTATGTTTAGTATTTCATGGCATTGTTATTTTTCATATTTTTTTTGTGTTTTTCGATTTGTTTCTTTCGTTTTTTTGTTTATATCTTACTTTTGAAGCTGTTTAGACGAAGCTATTATAGCTCTCCAAACAGTCGGCTGTTTACCAATAAGTCGAACCAGGACATTTAGATATTTATAAAGTTTCTCTTCCTTTTCGATTAAATTATAACCATGCGCAGAAAGTAAAATATTTTCCAAGATCCGACGCAACCAGTTTTTCCCTTAAATTCCTAATCCGAACATAATTGACAAAATAGATTTACCCTAAAATTTATTTATTTTTTTGTATATTAATAAAAAATATCTAATTGAAAAATTATTCTTATAATCTTTAAAAAAAATTGTAAAATAATCTTAAATGAAAATTGTAAAATTATCAAATTATAAAATAATATACAATGAAACCATGATTTATTAACATTTGCAAATTCCTGGTCCGCCTCCAGCCCTGCCTGGTGTTATTCTTACAAAACAATTTAGGTTCGGGCTGGGTAAGGTCTAATATTTTTAAAAAAAATTCTGGCTGGGTCGGGCTGTTATCATTCAATTTTATGAAATAAATGATATATTTTAAAATTCTTGCAAGAAATAAGACGCAATATTTTTTATTTGTAGATTTTTTTTTACAATTAAAAAATTATTAATGTTTTCTATATTTAAATAAATTCGGACCGAGCCAGGCGGACAAATAATTTTTATATAGGGTCACATTTTTGGGGAAAAATATAAGAAAAAATTAAGGATCGGGCAGGGTGGAACAAATTTTTAGGATATCCATTTTATCAACGTAGAGATAAGGGTTTTATTCATGTCGGAGGTAAGCCAGTTGATAATCGATACGTAATCCCTTATAACAAATGTCTATTATTAAAATTTAATGCACACATAAATGTTGAAATATGTACATCAATAAAATCCGTCAAATATATTTTTAAGTACGTTTACAAAGGATACGACTGCGCTAATATAGATCTTAAAACTAATTCGCTTCAATCTCATGATGAAATTAGAATGCATATAAATGCCCGATATGCATGTGAAGCCATGTGGAGATTATTAGAAAATCGTATGCATGATCGATCTCACGGTATAAATCGATTAGCAATACACTTGCCATTTCATCAACCGGTATATTTTATAGAAGGACAAGAACGTCAGGCATTAGAGAAATCTGCCAGCAGAAATACTACATTAACTGCCTGGTTTGAATTAAATAAAAATGATGTTAATGCCCGTCAATATTTATATGTCACTATACCATATCATTATACTTTCAGCGCTAATAAGTGGAAACTTAGACAAAGACAAAACAATATAATTTCAAGGATGTATACTAGTGTTGTTAAACGGCTCGTTTTGAGCCGATTTTTAAAAACGGCTAACTCAATACCTCATCCATAAAAATATTACCCAAGCCTGAAGATTTTGCTCATAGAAGGAACAAATGTATAGACATATATTTTCGAAATCTTGAGGCTTAGGCAATATTTTTCTGGCTAAAATATTGAGTTAGCCGTTTTTAAAAATCGGCTCAAAACGAGCCGTTTAACAACACTAATGTATACTGTTGATCCATCCGGCGAGAGATTTTTCCTACGTTTACTATTACTTCATGTTGTTGGCGCCACAAGTTTTGAATGAGTTTTATATAATACTTTTAAAGAGGCGGCTTTTAAAAGAAATTTATTGGTTGATGACAAGGAATGGGAAGCATTTATGAAAGAAGCGTCAACATTTTTAATGCCCATACAGTTGCGTCAATCTTTTGCCTTTATTTGTATTTTTTGTCAGCCAGAAAATCCAAATAACCTCTGGGAAAAATTTAAAAAATATATGATAGAAGATTTCGCACATACCCATACAGATTCTATTGCAATTAATATGGCCTTATCAGATATAGAAAAAGTTTTGCGTGACCATGGTTTTCATCTAAATAATTTTAATTTGCCTGTTCCTACTATAACACTTGAAAATGATATTTATAATATTGAACTTGAGCCAGCTAAAGCATGGGAAATTATTTCTAAATTAAATCTTTTACAAAAATCATCTTTTGATTTAATCGTTCAATCTATCGAAAATAATGATTTTGCTCAGCGTTGTTTTTATATTGATGGTCCTGGTGGTTCTGGAAAAACTTTTTTGTATAACACCCTAATGTGCTACATATGAATACGCAACCAAATAGTTTTACCGTTTGCAACAACAGGCATTGCCGCTATTCTTTTAAAAGGGGGTAGAACAATACATAGTGGATTTAAATTACCTATTCCGATTGTTGATAACTCTGTATCTCGCATGAGTCTTCATTCCCCTGATGCTACTGTTATTAAAAGGTCCAAATTAATTATTATCGACGAAGCCACAATGATGACTAAATACGCTTTACGCTGTATCGATAGATTACTTAAAGATATAATGCAAACACAGTTCCCATTCGGTGGTAAAGTTAAATTATTGAGCGGCGATTTTAGGCAAACTTTACCTGTCATTCCAAACAGTTTAAAAGCATATATTATTAAATCGTGTCTTAAGTCTTCTGATTTATGGGTTTATTTTAAAGTTATCCACCTGAATGAAAATATGCGGTTATCTTCTGAAGATGTTGAGTATAATTCCTGGCTTTTGAATGTTGGAGAATCTTTATCAAATGTTTCCAATCCTTTATTCCCTCCAGATTCGATTGAAATCCCAAATTCATTATTAGAAAAATCATTAATCAAATCAATATATGGAGACTCCATACAAATATCTGATATTAACCTATTTTCAAAAAAAATTATATTAACCACTAAAAATAACATAGCCCTAAATTTAAATAACGAAATTATTCAAAAACTATCAGGAAATTCTAAGATATATTTTAGCGCTGATTCTATACAAACAGATAATCCTGAGGATTTACTTAATTTCCCCATTGAATTTCTTCATTCTCAAACCCCATCATGAATGTCTCCTCATATTTTAAATCTTAAAGTTGGGACAATAATATTGCTTCTTCGTAACATGAATCCCAGCAGAGGCTTATGCAATGGGACACGACTTCTTATCAAAAATTTACATGATAATTTCATAGATTCTGAAATATTATCAAGGACGCATAATGGCCATCGCGTTTTTATTCCTCGAATTGATCTTTCCCCGAGCGATTCCCGGTTGCCTTTCATATTAAAAAGACGCCAATTTCCTATAATTCCTGCTTTTGTTATCACTATAAACAAAAGTCAAGGTCAAACATTCGACAATGTCGGCCTCTTTCTTCCTGAACCTGTGTTTTCCCATGGTCAGCTCTATGTCGCTCTAACACGTTGCAGATTTAAAAAAATAAAAATATTACCTACAAAATACCAGGGCACACTTTTGAATGATAATAGAGTATTTACTCTTAATGTCGTATATCAGGACGTATTAAATTATGTAGCTTCAAGTTAATTCATCAAAAAACGACACTACATCCACCAAAAACATTATAGACACGATACCATCATCATCATCAGTAAATTTTATTTTATACTTCCAATTTACACGTTTTATTTCCAGTTATTTACGGCAAGTTACGAGCAAGGAAATGAAATCAAAAAAATGACACTACATCGACCAAAAACATCATTGACACGATACCACCATCATCATCAGTAAATTTTATTTTATTCTTCCAATTTACACCTTTTATTTCCAGTTATTTACGGCAAATTACGAGCAAGGAAATGAAATAAAAAAAACGACACTACACCAAAAACATCATAGACACGATACCATCATCATCATCAGTAAATTTTATTTTATACTTCCAATTTACACGTTTTATTTCCAGTTATTTACGGCAAGTTACGAGCAAGGAAATGAAATCCAAAAAAACGACACTACATCCACCAAAAACATCATAGACACGATACCATCATCATCATCAGTAAATTTTATTTTATACTTCCAATTTACACGTTTTATTTCCAGTTATTTACGGCAAGTTACGAGCAAGGAAATGAAATCAAAAAAACGACACTACATCCACCAAAAACATCATAGACACGATACCATCATCATCAGTAAATTTTATTTTATACTTCCAATTTACACGTTTTATTTCCAGTTATTTACGGCAAGTTACGAGCAAGGAAATGAAATCAAAAAAACGACACTACATCCACCAAAAACATCATAGACACGATACCATCATCATCATTTTCAAAACTCTAACTTAGACAATACACTTTCTAAACCCTAAAATAAACAATACACTTTATTTATCAACATATAAAATAAAGATAATAAAAATAATCATATATAACCGTCATCAAATATAATCATTATCAAAAACTAAACAAATAATGAATTGATTTTCTTTGTGTTATCCATCCCAACCAGGGTTGCCAGGTCAAAATTTTCAAATTGTGGGAGAAATTAGGTATTTTGTGGGAGAAATATAAAAATTGTGGGAGAAATTGGTAAAAAAAATTTTTTTGCAGGCCATTGACTTAGTTATCCACTTATTATCTTTTATAAATATAAAATCTAATCTATTTTCCAAAATAAAATAGGTAATTATTTTTCAAAATAAAATAGCTAACTTTTTTTAAAATAAAATAGCTAACTTTTTTTCAAAATAAAATAGCCAACTATTTTTCAAAATAAAATAGCCAACTATTTTTCAAAATAAAATAGCCAACTATTTTTCAAAATAAAATATCCAACTCTTTTTCAAAATAAAATAGCCTAACTATTTTTCAAAATAAAATATCCAACTCTTTTTCAAAATAAAATAGTTAACTATTTTCCAAAATAAAATACCCAACTATTTTTCAAAATAGGTAATTACTGTATGACACAAAATTTCTTAGAGTACTATCTTTATTATTAAAAAAACATATTGATTTATTATAATATATTAATTTTGTTTAAAAATAATAACCAACGATCTTTTTTAAATACAAAAGAATGTAAACAAGATAAAATTTTATAAAAAATTGTAATTTTACAATGTAAAAAAATAAATGGGGGAAGGGAATATGATATTTTGAGGTATCAAAAATCTTCAAAGCATAAATCAGTACAGGGCATTCTATAAACATCTATTTCAAAACAAAAATATTCTTCAAAAATAAGAAATAATATAGATGCAACTACAGTTGCGGAAATGGTAAATACCTATCATGCAGTACAACATTCAGAGAGTTACTCAACATCTCAATGTTGGTAGAATCTTTCCCCATAATATTTAACGACTAATATAAATGAATAGAATACTTTGTAGAACACAAAATGAGCAAGGCTATCAACAATGTTTTAGGATATAAATCCAGAAAGTCAATTCTTGACGATTTGAAAGATGTGCAAACATATGCAATTCTAACAGATGCATCTAATAAGGAGATATCAAAACATTTCCCTTGATCCTCCCCTATTTCAACAAAATTAATGTCATTTTAATAAAACTATTAAAAAAATTTTCTCCAGATATGAAATATCCAAAGACATAGCTAACCATATATAATGGTAAATATGGCAGATTTGGCATTACCAATGAATTGCATGGTAGCTTTCTGATCTAATAATTCCTCAGTGAATTTGGCAAAAACCAGAGTGTATTTACAGAATTGAGTCAGCATAATGTTGGTTGACAGGTTCCTCCTAATACGCGCTATCGTAGAATTTTAAAATACAAACCTTTAAAAAATAAATAGATTATAAAAGCTGTCCTATTTGAAAATAATTTTCAAAAATAAATGGCAGAAGTATATTTAGGAATTTTACATATAGGAAATCTACTATATGCTGTTAATATGCAGTTGCAATCAGAAGAATATAATTTAATAAAGGCTCACTAAATTATGCTGCAGAAATACCAAAGTAAGAATATTACTATTATCGGATAATTATTAATAAGATTTAATATGATGTCATGTTTGAGGAGATTGTAATGCTTCTTTATTTTTATGATTTGCCAAAATATTCAAAATATTAATTTTACAATGTAAAAAATAAATTTATTTGATTTTATGCAAATGTATAAATAAGATTTTATAAAATATAGAAAGTCAAATAGTTATAGTTAATTATATTTTATATGAGATTTAAATAATGGAACTAAACGTTTACCGTCGTTATTAAGATATTTATAAAAATCCTGGCATGACATTTTATAATTTTGTTTAACCATTAACTCGGCCTCTTAGGATATCTTAAGCTTAGATTAAAGATGATTAAGATAATAATATTTTCTAAGATGAGTTCCACTTTCATTGCTAATTTTTAAAAATATTACTTCTAATATTAATAATATATTTTTTAATATATAATAGTACATAAGCAGTTTATATTGAAAATAATTTTTCTTTTTATATATTTAATTATAACATTTTATTGTCCAAAAAACAACATCAGTATTGGAAACTAATGCTTTAACCTCAAAACAATCTAAATCTCACCTAGAAGATAACTATCATGGTATATATAAATAAAAATATAAAATATGTATAATATTTAGGATTTTTTAAGCTTAGATTAAAGATGATTAGGATAATAATATTTTCTAAGATGAGTTCCACTTTCATTGCTAATTTTTAAAAATATTACTTCTAATATTAATAATATATTTTTTAATATATAATAGTACATAAGCAATTTATATTGAAAATAATTTTTCTTTTTATATATTTAATTATAACATTTTATTGTCCAAAAAAACATCAGTATTGGAAACTAGTGCTTTAACCTCAAAACAATCTAAATCTCACCTAGAAGATAACTATCATGGTATATATAAATAAAAATATAAAAAAAGCACTAGTTTCCCATACTATTCTAACTTCAAATTTTGAAAATGTCGAATGGATTGGATTGGATGGAGAATTTAAAATTAGCGGAAAAATAAAATAAAAGAACTAGACATATTTTTCGAATAAATATTTAAAATTTATTTTAAAAATATAAAAATAATCAAATACTGTCTCTCAAAATTATTATTTATATATTAAAAACATTAAAATGCTAAAAAAAAAATTGTGGGAGAAATTAAAAAATTGTGGGAGATTTTTGTGGGAGATTTCTAATTGTGGGAGTTTTGTGGGAGTGAGATGTATGTGGGTAAACTAAAAAATTGTGGGAGACTCCCACTGATGGGGGGAGGCATGGCAACCCTGATCCCAACAGATACACCATTGTTCCCAGATCATCCACTTCCCTTTTCTTCCCCCAGGAAACCTTGATCTGCCTGTCATACAATAACTGACTTAATAAATATTATATTAAATTTATTTCTTCTTTTTTTCAGCACTTACAACACGCCCACCCTTCACAAGCCCAGCGTTCCTCTTTCTCTGGTGGTGTTGTATCGAATCGTCCCATTGAATTGTATCGCATACCCTGAAAACGTTCAGGGAATTTATCGAATCGTCTCCCTTTATGATGATTTATAAAATAATATCTCCGATACATTTCAATATATAATCGCAGAAACACATATTATCAATAATGACATTTACTTTGAGGTATCTGCATTTATAATCTATGGAACATTAATATGGCCGCAAAACATACTAATATTCATTTTAAGACACTTGGGAAATAGGAGATATAATATACATTATTCGGGTATAATTAATGGTAATTATGAAATAATGGTTTTATCTACAATATTATAATGTAAACCAATGGTTTATGTGTGATATGCAATTTCAACACATGTAATTGTTCTTCTGTCATCTACATTTTTATAAATATCTCCTAAAATAGATATACAAATCCATTCTTAGGCATTAAAAATAATTGCAAAAATTTTCCGAACAAAACTTCTCCGAACAAAAATTTTAACACAATTATAAGACATATATATAGAAATACATTTGATATTTTATAAAGAAAAATATATAATATGTAGAAAATACAATATTTTCCATCTAGGAATTACTCAGTATCCTAAGAAAAATATACCATTTCTACCTAACTCTGCTATCACAATTAGCACAATTCATAAAAATGTAGAATGCAAAGTAACAAAAATTGAGAATATAATGGGTTATACAGTATATCTGTAAAGAATTTTTGATATAGCCTCACAATATAAAATAATTTGAGTCTTTTCTTTCTTTCTTTTTTTTAAAAAAAACATGTTCATAATATAAGTAGTAAAAGGTGATGTGCTATAAAATTATTACAAAGATAAAAAAAATATGTAATATGAAAAAAACATGTTCCTAATATAAGTAGTAAAAGGTGATGTGCTATAAAATTATTACAAAGATAAATAAATATGTAATGTGCTAAATAAATTTACAAAACAAAATTTATATATAAAAAAAACTTTCTCCAGTATGCAAACCAAACAATATTTCCACCTCAAGGCATACTCATCAACAAGAGCTGGCCTTCTCTGTAAAAATATTTTCCCTTCATATCCTTGCATTGCATACATAACAATATTCAAAATTTTATAATTTTTCAAAAAAAAATAATATATATATTACATCTAAAATTTCATAATTAAAAAAAAATTAAATGTCATCTAATAACTCCTACTACATTTGTATCTATCAAATGCAGACATTAAATCCAAATAACTATCCACATATAACATTATACATACTATTCTGATTTCATTATACTTCAATTCCTTTAATTTATTATTTACACCATATTTCATAAAAATGGTTAATTATTCTAAAATAAACAACAATAATTCACCCTCTATAGATCCCTCTAAAATAAACAACATTAATTCACCCTCTATAGATCCCTAAATAATATATCACCTTAATTGAAACCATATCAAATTCATACATTAAATCAAAAATACTTGTTCACATATACTATTATTATATATATTATTATGACCTCATTACAATTCAATTTCTTTAATTCTAATGTATTTCACAAGTTTATTACATAACACTGCAGCTAGATTATCTCACATTTTCATTAATGATATCCTTTTAAATCTAAATGTATCCTATATATGTTTATCATTAATAAATAAATATATCATATGTATAATTATATAATTACCCTTACACCATATTTCATAAAAATGA